AAATGATACCTGTCGTGATCCAGGGTGATACGCTTCATAAGTTGTCCTGTAATCGGCTGCTGAAAATGATAATTGACAAGGCTGATAACATCTCTTTTTAGGTTGATAAGGCTGATAACATCTCTTTAAATGTCTACAGGGTAGAAGAAAATTATTTAAATTCTTAAAGTTTACATATTTCTTTAATTTATAAAAAAAATGGTGGCTTTTAAATTTGAAAAGTGAAAAATGAAAATATAAATAACAACAACAACAACAACAATAATAATAATAATAACAACAAAGCACATTCATAGTGATACGAATGAAAAAGATCTGGCCGCTATATTGTAAAAATTTTAATGCATTAATCATAAATCATCGGTTAGTTTATAATGCTTTCTTTTCCCTTAGCAAAGTTTTGCACTTGAAAGTGAAATATTGCAGGAATTTCTCATCTTTTAAGTTATGCTATTATTATTAGCGGCTACTGTATTCGAATTATGGATAACATTATTACGATTTTTTGTTATGCCAACAGTAACAACAGCAACGATATATAATATAAGTTGGATATCAACAAATCCATTGTATGTTTTCTTTCGGAATTATTTAATTTATTTTTTAATAAATTTATAAGTAAACTATAATGTGATTTTGATAGATCCGATATTGTATTCTAAGAATGAAATATAGTTAATAGGGATGATGGTTGAATTAAAATTATTGTAATAGCACTTCTAACAAAAGTCATTCATTCGAGCAAATTATTGGGTTAAATTAAATTTTATAAAATGCTAATTAATCACGGATAAATAGTTGGTTTTTAATTTACTATACTATTGAATTGACTATTGAATTGAATTAAATCTTCTTATTTGGTTAATCTATTTATTTGAAAAATAATCTCTTTAAAATAAGTAATAATCAGGATTAATATAATTTTAAATAACTAATAATCATGATTACATGATTGATATGATGTGAAGATATTAAATGTTACTATACTTTAATGTTTTCTACACATTTCTTTTGTAGATTCTTAATGAGATCAAATTATAAAAACTTTTATAGGTTGCAAATTAAAAGAGATCTTTCATTATTCTTATTTTTTTATTGTCTTTTAATATTTATTGAAGGTATTCTTTTAATTGCTAATGAAAAATTATTTTCATTATAGCTGAATTTCAGATTTTCAGAAACCGGTGATATTCCATTATTTATGGAAAATTTAAAAATGAGCGATAGGATACGATTTAGTTGTTCAACAAATGGTATTGAAAAGACAGCTATTCACAGGGTGAGAATATCATCATCATTATCATTATTCACTCATTTATTATTTCTTACTTATTATAATTAATAGAATTATATGTTACGATGAAAACGATCATAAAAAAAAGAGAGATTTAAATTTAAAGTCATTTTCTTTTAAATTTCTCCAAATATGACTCATCGATTATATTACTTGAAACGATTCGATTATAATTCGATCACAGTTATAATTTAATTTGAAGGTAGATGAACGTGCAGCTCTTGATTGTCATGGTCCGGCAAAATTTGTAGATTCTTTGGTTGGTACATGTATGAAAGCAAATGATTCGATTATAATACGATTACGTGAAATACCAATGCTTCCAAATGAAATGTCATATAAGCCGGATAATGATTATTTTTTTATAAGTTTGTTTTAGGATTAATATTTTTACTAGAAATTTCTTTCCTAACTAAACTTTTCTACAAACTTTACCTTTTTTTTAATTTATCTATTTTAGTATTTTCGATAATTAGTTTACTCTTTTGTTTAATTATAAACAATAAGCAATTTTTTTTCAACTACCATAAAGTGATTTATTTGTGGTAAAACTTTATAATTTCACGAAATGATTAAGTTTAGTAATAGCCGATCGTTAACTGTTTTAGTTCAGATCTGGTTACATAAGCCAAGGTCATCATCATCTACGATTGACATATATGAACTCATACATTTATATATACATATATATATATATATATATACACATGCATAGATGCATCATTATTTTTAGATGTATAATCATGACTAAATGAAATATTCATTCAAGCGGAAATTGTTTGATTTCAGCCTTCTTTCCACCTTTTCATTTTATGCCGTAAAAATTATGACAATCATTTATTGAGGGATTTATGAAAATGATTTCCGAAAATGTAACACCTTACATTCTCTTCAACCTTTTTAATCATTTAAATTGATTTCAATAAATTATCAAAAATTCCTTAAATCTACAATTTTTTTGTAGATCCAAAATTATTTCAACATTTAAAATGCATAATTTTTAGCAACATCTACCGGTGATAAAGATGGCTTAGAAAATAGTGAAGGAGGCTTTTGTCGAACGAAAAATATGAGGTTGAAAATTCGAGTGGAATCAAAGTGGACAGGAATAAGTCAAAAAAGTAAGTATTGATGGTAGATCTAAATTCAATTCGCTAATTTCTTTCATTTCCCTCATATTTTTGAAATTTGTAGTAAAAATTGTGGATTATTTTTATACATCAGTATGTTGTTGCATTTTCGGAAATGATTCTTTGCAGTTCCGGAATTTGCAGCTAAAAGTGGACCGGTGATGATGATTCCAGTGAGTTCTGGACAGTATGCTGTTCCTATTGTTTACGTTCCGGTAAGCATTAAAATCTATGTAACCTTAAAATCTTTTTTTTTTGTTTTGAAATAGGATCTATATTAGAAATAAATAGATCCTGAATTTGTCGTATCATGCTTGCAATCAAATAGCTTCTTAAAATTTCAGGTAGCTCCATCATCCAAAGCTAACGGCGATGATAGAAAGAGACCAGTGTTTCCGTATCATTTGTATTTTGCAAATGGACATTTTCAAGCTGCCAACTCGAACTTAGGAGATTTAGAACCTAGAACAGGTATTTTTTTGGACGTGAACATTTTTTTCTTGTAACTTCAAATTTTCGCAACATATTACGACAGTATTGTTAAGTAATGATATGTTATAGGAAGAAAAATTTGCTTTTCAAGAGTTGATGCTAACTCCTATTCTTTTAAAAATTTGATAACATTTGGTCGTAGGATTTTATTTTCAAAAATTCATTGCATCGTTTTGAAGAATAAAGTCAGAGATGTCATTTCACATAAACCATAAATTCTAATTTACTTTTAGTATATTTTGTTGAAATTAAATAAGACTTAAATATAATTAGTTAAATTTAATCCGATACAATTACTACAGAATTACAATTTGATGCTGGAGATCAGCCTAAAAATTTCGGAAATCCTGCATCTGCAATTAAATCAAGTGGATATGTTGCACCAAAACTTGTTAATGAGAAAGATGTCGATTTTGAAATAGAATATATGGATTCTGCTAGTAGAAGTGAGTTTACTTATGTGTTTTTTTTTTAAGGAATCAAATAATAGTTTGAACATTTACATATCAAAAAATCTTATTAATTTAAGAACATAAACAATAGTTTCATAATGAAATATTATTTCATTACCTATTTCTGAGTTGTATTTCATTGATTTTTTTATAGCACAAAATATTTATTCTATAACAAAAAGTTTTCAACAAGAAATCTAAATTTGTTGAAAAATATAATTAGAATTATGATAAGTAGTAGAAAAAAGAAATTTTTTAAAACAATCAACTCTTTAATTTTATGCAGTATTTATGGAAAATTGTAATGGATAGCGTATGATGATGATGATGATGATGATGATACGTTAGCATATCATCATATCAGTAAAAATTTAGCTTATCATAACAGATCCAATTACATCATATGATGATAATAAAATGATTTTTTTTGCAGAAATTAAAAATCGAGAGAATTATTATAATAACATCATCATGATAACAAACATTTTTGTTTATCTCGATTTATTCTCAATATTTTTTTCATTTTTTCTAGGATCATGGAAAAATATTGGAACAATGAAAATTGCAATTATCACAAACTTTATCATGATAACAAACATTTTTTTGTTGTAATGATTATTTTTTCTTTTTTGATAATTTTTATCATTCCTTTAAATTTTTGCAATTTTTACAATTTCTCTTTTCATTGTCTTTCTTAATTATCGTAATTATTGTTATAATTATACTTCTTTTTTTTTTTAAAAAATTATTTTACTTAAAAAATTTCTATTCTCTTTTTAATTATTTTTATCATTAGCATTGTTTAAATGATTCATTTAAAATTTCTAACAATTCCAAAGCATTCTTTCAATTTTATCATTTATTTTATTCTTTCCCTATTTCTTCTTTCATTCTATTCCATTTTGCTTCCTTATCAGCTACATTATCATTCTTATCATTTTTGATATATTTTCTTTATATCTGTAATATATTTTTGATGTAATATAATTGTTACTTTAATTTAATTAATTAATTCATTGAAGGTAATTTTAATTTCATAAAATTCAACAAGTAAATAGTTTCAGAAAATTATTTGTGTATTAAAAATACGACAAATATTTCATATATTATTATTTCATTATTAATCTTATTTCATTTATTAATTTCTTATACCTGCAACATTATTATTCTTATATCTGCAACAATTGAATGAATGAAGTATGTAAGGATTTCAGTAAAACAATAACTAAAATGAAATTAATGATTGATATATAAATTGTATACTGAAATACTTTCATTGAAATTTTCATTTATTCGTAAAAACATAAATGAAATTTCAATAATTATTTTAATATCAAAAATTAAAGATTAAAATTAAAATGTTGAAAACGGTGAATTTTTTGTTGAAATGACGTGTTTTTATTGATTTTTCACGAATACATTCATCATCGATTCATTCCTAAAATTTTATTATTGCCTTAAAATTTGTCAATTTTTCCTTTTGTTTTTTTTTATTGCCCGATGAAATTTTATCATAGTAATATATTGTTATCATTATTGTTATTACGTGTTTGATTATTATTATCATTAATACATTTCATATTTGATGATTTTAGAGAGATGATAACTAATAATGAACAAAAAATTATCATTATTGTCATTAGTTGTTTGATTATTATTATCATTAATACATTTCATATTTAATAATTTTGATCTTAGAGTGATGATAATTAATAATGAATAAAAGAAACAATGGCTATTATGAGTTAATATATTATTATCATTATTGTTATTACATGTTTATTATTATCATTAATATATTTCATATTTGATAATTTTGATCATAGAGAGATGATAATTAATAATGAACAAAAGAAACAATGGCTATTATAAGTTACAATTATTTTGATGCAATAATTTTTATTTCATTTCAAATTAACTAATCCTTCAATAGAGATACAAACGAACTGTTTGTTTTTTGATAAAAATTTCCAGTTTATCAACCAGAAATTTATCTGCAAACAGTATTTAATGATAGCATAATGGTTTATCAGCCAGGAATTATTTGCAGTTTTTAATTTTTCCTGATTTATCAATCGGGAATTATCAGTAGACAGTATTTAATGATAGCATAATGGGACAAATAAATTACATAAATTCTACATTCTCGAGATTGTTGTGAATTTTCAATATTTTAATTTTGTAAATTATTATTGATTTATTTATTGAAATTTCCTGAAATATCAATTTTCCTTTTTCTTTTTTTTCTTAAAATCAGGTTTATAAGGAGGAAAAGGTATAATTTTGCTATTTAATTTCAATCGATCGTTTTTATCCAATTTATTTCCGTTTTTAACCAACAAATTTTTTGATTATTTCAGTGATATTTTCAATGACAAGATGACAAATGATGACAATGATAATGATGAATAATATATTTGACCTCTTCTTATTTCAATATTTTTTGAACAATCTTTTTTTTTTTCCAAACATTTCTTTTATTAAATATTTGGAAGTGTCATCAAATATACTTTGCTCAAAAAGAAGGCAAAGATGAAATGAATTTTCCTTTTAACATCTTTTTGCTAAAACAAAAGAATTAATAAAATTAATGAGGAAAGAAAAATTTCTAATTTTGGTTTCAATTTTACTCTCTGATTAAAATTCAATCAAAACATTAAAAATATTTGTATATTTATTTAAGAACAGAAAAAAACGGCGATCGAATTCTATTCTTTTCTTTCCTACCACCCATTTGTTTGTATAATTTGAATTGGCTTAACTATTATAATAGTTTATTTTATCAGATTTTTTTCCATTCCGTATTTTTTTTTTCATAGTATGTTAAATTTTTAAACATTCCATCGGATTGGAATTGATATATGTAATGATAAAATGATAAAATGATATGGAAAAGAAATTTTGCTTAAATTTTCTCAAACAATATATTTATCAATCAATTGCAACTTTCATTCTTTTTTTTTTTTGAATTAATAATTAATAATAATAATAATAATAATAATAATCATAGTAATAGTAATTTTTCTGTGGACAGTAATTGATAATAATTGATAATAAATAATAATAATAATAATGAATGGTAACAATAATGTATAATAAATAATGAATAATAATAATGAATAATAATAACAATGGATAATAATAATAATGAATAATAACAATAATGTGTAATAATAATAATGTATAATACATAATGAATAATAATAATAATGAATAATGACAATAATGCGTAGTAGTAATAATAATAATGAATAGTAATAATAATAATAATAATGAATAATAATAATAATAATAATAAATAATAATAAATAATGATCAGTAATAATAATAATAACAATAATAATGAATAATGATAATAGTAATAATAATAATGAATAATAAATAATAACAACAATAATAATGAATAATAAATAATAATAATAAATAATAATCGGTAGTAATAATAATAATAATAACAATAATAATGAATAATAATAGTAGTAATATTAATGAATAATAAATAATAATAATATTTAATAATAATGATAACAATAATAATAATGAATAATAAATAATAATCAGTAGTAATAATAATAATAATAACAATAATAATGAATAATAATAGTAGTAATATTAATGAATAATAAATAATAATAATATTTAATAATAATAATAACAATAATAATAATGAATAATAAATAATAATAAATAATAATCAGTAGTAATAATAATAATAATAACAATAATAATGAATAATAATAATAGTAATAATAAT